CTCCGAAATCGCGCACTTTACCCGGATTCCGTCATTGCGTCGCCTGATACGTAGCCGGCCAAAGGCCACTTCTTTCCATGCCTCGTTTGGCTCCGCCCGAATTACCTTCGATGTCCATAACGTGTAGTTTTTGTACGTTTGTTTCTCTTCAGAAACCGAATCTTCATGCGTGAAACTTTGTGTGCTGTTTCCAGTGATCACAACTGACACATTCATGTCAAGAAAGAATGCAAGAATTTTCCGCGAAGGATTCCTTTAAGTGCTCGCTTTTCAGACACAGCAGCTGGCATGAAATATGTTGGAGGACACAAAATTCGAGGGTGACGCATTCAAAATCCGGCCTATATATCGGGTTGGAGCATGATACGTAGTGCTTGAGCCAAGCACAAACGTTAAATAAAATACATACAAAATAATTAGTGACAAATTCTAAGTCCTTCCATTTTGAAACTCGGCATTTTCGTTGTTGCAATGGTGATTTATACTTCTGCCTTGAGCTTGGTAGGTGCGAAATTCATTACGGCCAACGTTTTGAGCGTGTCGCGTTTCAAATGTCTGAAATGGCCCAAAGCTTGCAAATTCATCACTACCCCACCAACGCTTTTGCGCTTTAGCGTGTCTGACTTTCCACAAGGAATACATCTTTCGAATTTCGGGTGCTTTCCGTGCGTTCCTGAGGACGTGTCAGACACGCCAGAGCGGAGAATGCGTTTGGTGGGGTGTTATTCAAAGCTTCGAGCTATTTTCAGGCCTTTGAAAACGGCGAAACGGTCGAAACGTTGGCCAGGATTGAATTTCCTTCTACCAACCTCGAGTCAAAAGAAATCATAGCCGCAACACCGCCAGTGATCTTTTCTTAGTCATTATTTACGAGTGTGATTCCAGTTAGACCTGAGGGTTCGTGAGCTTCACTGTTTAACATTTTCTTTGCGTCTTGTTGAATTGAGACTCGAAACAGCTTTAAGTGACGACGCTTCGAGTTTTGCCCTTCCTCAGATCTACAAAATGGGAACAATCGGGGGGAGGAAGGTCCAATGGGAAGAAGAACCTTTGCTTTCGCCTTTATGAAACCTGAAGAATAGCTGTTGTCAGAAGCGCCGAGAGCCTTGATTTTTCAGATTTTGTGCGGCATATCTGAATAATTTATTGGTATTGAAGAAAACGAAAAATATGATATAGTAGCACAGAAAGCACTTTTGAATGCGATACATAATTCAGCGAAGAGAAACCTGAAGTGGCACGCACAAACAAAAACGCTGCTTTCTATTCAAACGTAATAACAGAGAGTCACATGAAACAAATGAAGGAAACTGATCATTGGTGCTTGCCTGCAAATTTGCGAGCGGAGCATCCGTTGTTGTAAAAATTTCACGTTCACCCTCTGTTAGGGACCCTCGATACGACCGTTACCGCGACTACCAGCGAGGGTTTCCCCATACGACCCCCTTCTCCCACCCACGACCAACACTCTCACCAACATGACCATCGCGTCTTCGTGATCTTTATATCGACAAAAAGATGAAAAAGGGTGGGAAAAAGGATGCCTTTTTAAAGGGACTTGGGGTGCCGGATCGGGGTCGGCGCTGAGCGAAAAAGGTGCTTGAGAGGGATTCAACACCCCAAGCCCAAAATCAAATCAAAATAATCGCTTTCTCGTTTTTCATGAGTTCTTCATTGTGTTTACGTTTCATTCATGTCACATTTTGCCTTTATGGCCTAATCTTCTGATACGGCGCTAAGGGTTTGCGCAGGAAGACAGGACGATGCCAAGTTTGATAGGTACAATGCAAGTTGGATTGTTTCAAGATCATAAGACCCAAGTGCAACATTCACTTTCACGTGCTCTTAAAGGTGAAAACTTTTTATATGCTACATACAAATCGCTAGTCCACCAAGGCCTGTTATTACTTCTTCGCTCTTGTGCCTTCTTTTGCTGCGGCAAATTCCGCCCACTGTGAAAAAAGTTAGCTACGCCATATATCCGCAGCGAAAGGAGATGGAACCTATTTTTCAACACATACCTTTTTCAACTTCGTGTAGTTCCCTCCCTACGACAACGGGAAATTTGAAAAAGGGAGTTCGAGTTTCGTAGTCTGCACACACGCCTTGTCACTATGTTCACTTTTCGTATTTTGAGCGGGGACAAAATTGGACATCATTCAAATTGTCACATCGATCTATGATGGAAAAGGCTTGCTAAGAGAGTTGCATTGAATTCGGGTATTTCAGAACCTCGTTAGAGATAATTCCAGGCTGGCGCATTAAGGAAAAAATTAGGAAAGTTCTAGAGAAAATTGTTGTTGAAAAATTTGCTTCATGTTGTTGTTCGCCTTACGTTCGTTCGCTGATTTAGATGTTTTATGTTTTTTGTTATTTCAGTCGTTTAATTACCCAACTTGAGGTGGAGAGAATAAACGATTCTCTGTCGTGGTGTCGATGGTACCGTATTATCGCATGGCACTCGCTCATACCACTGAAGTTGTCAAAATTCTTTTAATGACCATTTCGATAGTTTTGCTCACAACCCAGCATTCTTGTGAAACATTGCGAGGCGAACTGCGGCTCAAAAACAGCAGTTAACAAACAAAAACAAGTCAAAATTCATTGCTTAAGCTTTTACCCTCGCGGTTACTACCGATATTGGCTTACCGGCTCAATACGTTATACGTGTGAGTACTGTGACAAGCTATGGTACGTATACCATGAAAGCTGAGTTGGGATGAAATGGTGCCCCGGTAGCGTAACTGGTAGCGCACTTGCCCGGTAAGCAAGAGGTGCGGGTTCGAGTCCCGTCTGGGGCGAAAGTTTTGTTCACAACCCAGCATTCTTGTGAAACGTTTGGATAGTACTCGATTTATCACACACCCCATATCGCCCACTTTTTCCCTCGTCGGACGGGGCAACTCCACGGGGAGGAGGCCAAAAAAGTCATTGTGTGATTGGTGCATATCAGCAAATTTTTCCTCGCAGTGGGTGCAGCCGTTGATGAAAGTTTTACAGTCGATATCCGAAAGTTGGGGTAGGCGTGTCACCGGAAGTGACGTGCACTTGATAGAAGTTGCGTGGATAAGCTGTTGCCAGCATGCTTTGCTGATATCCAGCGATGTATGTTGGAAGCAGCTTATCCACATAGCTTCTATCAAGTGCACGTCACTTCCGGTGACACGCCTACCCCAACTTTCGGATATCGAGTATACTGCAAAATATTCTTAGGTGTCCTTCTAAAAGCAGATTCCTTCTGATAGAAGTAGGTACCACGTCATCTGATTCCATACTTTCTCAATCGGTTAATCGATGGAGAGCTTCATAGAGATAGTGGTTCTGACAACGTAAGATCCTCGGCCCGACTTTCAAAAAACGTCGTGGTAATCCGCCATCCGTCGAAAACTTCTTGAAGTCAAGCTGTGCATTATGTTTCCGCTGCAGATTCTTATCGTTTCTTCGGCGTAGGAGGCAGTTATAAGTTTTTTTGAAGGTCGCATGGAGATGTGGAGGGAGATGACTTTTTGATGACTCATCTCCCTCTATTCCTGATAACTACTACGTTTTTGCTTTTTACGGTAATTATTATTTTGGTATATCATTCAATATATATTTAACCTAATCCAAACAGTCCACGGATCTCTTTCAGTGAGGGAGGACCTTCAATATATATTCAACCTAATCCAAACAGTCCACGGATCTCTTTCACTGAAGGTCCTCTCTCACTGAAAGATCTCTAGCCGGTTAGTGGCGAGACTACGTGGCACGACCCATTCGAAGCAGTGTCTGCGTAGGTTCAACCTTAGGTTTCGGTGATTACTGTTTCCATTATGAATTCATTTCGACGCGTACCGTAGTGTTTGTCGCTTGGGTATGACTTCTTGTAGCCGCGTAGACACTTTCTTTTGCATCTTGGGGTCGCTGCGTCATCGTCGCATTCTCCGTAATACGGCTCGTCTCCATGGTGACCACAGGGATGAATCTCGTAGGGACGACAGCTGCCCTGATAATAACTCTCTTTCAAGTTTTCACACAATACATATAATTTCACAAAATATAAAGTAGTTGGTAATAACCCCACCTTTGTAGCATAGTTGCCGCCAGTTACAACACCTTCATATGCGAAATATTGCCAGGCTCTAATCGGCCAGCCACCTTGACATCTAAATCAGAGAATTCTTGAACCGGCGGCAGGTAACCGCGGTTTTGGTGCTGTCCCCTTCGCATCTAGCGGAGAGGCTCCACTGCAGACTTCACAACATACGTGACGACAGCTCCCACAAAATGTAATGATTTACTGCCAACACTATTAGCCGGTGGCAGTTGCATAATATCAGTTATCACTACAACTATCATTTATCAGCTATCAGTTGTTACTACAAAGTACTATTAGGTTGTTGAAGAAGTTTTTGCGCGTTTTCTACAAATCCCTCGGAGTTTTTTCTTCTAACATATTATCTTCCAGCAGACAACTCATGGATGCTTGTTTAAAAATCCTGAGATTCCGAAGAAGTCCTTTGCGAGTAGGTCTAGGGTCATGGGGCTACCCCTCTCTAATTTGATCCGACAGCAACAGGCTAATAATGTAGATTTGGTGCCAGGCCTGCTGAAAACACCAGGGGTCAGATCGTACGTTAAGGAGCTTTAGGACATTCGCGATCTTCGTAATTCGTGAACGAGCACTGTCACGGTAAAGCGAACATTACCATGTTTTTCGAAAGTCTTCGGCGGACCTGACACCGACAATACATCAGTCGCTGTTGCAGTCGATCCAACTGCATAAGGGGGTGGTTCAATCATCCGAAAATATTCGGAGAAGTACACCTTCGAGTTTTTCGTCTTAAAAACTAAGGATTCCTGATCGACTTTCAGTCAGAAGTTGCCTGCTGGTAGGCGATGATTCGAAGATTGCGTTGTGCTTATCCTTATCAACTTCTGGGCCTGTATAAGTTATGAAAAATGCAATTAAGTTAACAGGTGTACGATAAAGCTGACGCGCATGCGCGTGAAGAATTTTGCACCGCATTGGACATATGTTTGTACGCATTTTTTTCCGCACATGAATGACTTTTTACAAGATGTTTTGCTACTTTTCTATAGACTACACTTTAACATAACTATAAACGGCATGGTCCATTTAGGGGTAGAATATGCTCCAGTTGAACAAAGTTTTTTGAACCTCACTATAATTCCAATTTAGATCAATCTTCGATTTTTATTTTGAAGTTGGCAAGCAAATAAAAACGGAAGATAAATACGTACAACAATAAAATACAATAATGTTACGGAATTACGAACCTATGGGTGGCACGATTTGTGTTTTTTATTGAAACAACCGATACAAAAGAACTTTTTACACCTACTGCAGCGCGTATTGACCCTTTTCGCTTTCTGAGCAGCCGCACGGTATCCCTGTTCCTTAGACATAGATGCATAACATTCTGAACACCTTCTCCTGTTGACTCCTTTCGAACCCTTAGCTATTTCTTCCAACACATGTCGCGTGGGAATCGACTGACTCGGCGTGTATTCACGCTCAACCTTGAGCAGTGACTCCACCACTTCCAATTTGAAGTCGTTCAACCGAATGTTTTTGATCACATCCTTGTATAGTTTCCACGCGTTGACCATTGCTACTTGTGTGATCAAGTGGAAGAAAATCGTTTTGTACTATTTTGTTGTTTTGCGTACAAATGGCGTATATGACGCCATTTGATCGGACGAGTCGACAAATGCCTTCATCTCGTTGTAGCTTTCTACTACTTTTGGCTTTTTAGACAATCCAATAGAGGCGTCATGTTTCGTAGAGATCATGTATAAATCCCTTTTGGCTCTCCACCCTTCAGCACCAAGATGCCCATTTCGTTTCTGTTTGTAACATATCTGGTCCCTTCCAGTTTCCTAGTCCTTGATTTCATTTGGAATTCCCCTTCTATTTCTCCTCAAAGTTCCAACAAGATGAGTTTTTCTTGAGATCAACTACTAGCCCAATAATTGAGTAGAAATTGTCTGTGCACAAAGTGCGCCCTTCATCGGAAACCACCCAGTAGCTCCAATACACTTTATCAGCGAGTGGCTCGTCTCTTGGTGGATCCTTGCCAGCATAGATCTTGATCCTCACTGTATATCCGCCTTTTCCACACAACTTGAATAATTTGATGCCATATTTACCCGGATACCTCGTTGAACAGCTGCACGAAATGCTTGACTTTGTACAATCGGTTTCCGTCTGAACTGTCGTTATCTGCTAGGTGAAGATGCCTCAGAAGTTCTTCGAATCTGGTCCTTGTCATGATTTTCGTAGCAACAGCACGGCCGCCTAGACCAGGTCGCGAGCTCCAGTAATCTCTTAGGTTCGGCAATTTGACCAATCCCATTTGTAGGCATAAACCAATGAAGCTTTTGATTTCATCCGCATTGGTTTCTTGGAACTCCGTACTCTGCTGGTTGCCGTAGTGGTTAGTTTCCTTCACAATAAGATCTAGAATCTCACCATTCAAAAATAATTCGTAAAAGTCTATCGGGTCCACACAGTTGTAGACAATATCTTTTGGGCCAGAATCACCAACAAAAATTCAGGGATCATGAGAAGAAACACCTGTGACCATGGATGAACGCTTTCGTGTGTTTCAATCCTGTGTTGACTCATCTCGATTCTATCTCTGCACCAAGCGTCCACATCCTTCTCTCAATACTCCTGTTCTTCATCGTCCAATGTGTTTTAGTAGTGTCAACAACCCATAGTATTCGTCAGTATCATTATCAATATACGCACCATGCCTTTATCCGCGCCCTGACATTTAGCGTATTGCTTGAGACACGAACTCTTCTGCTAAGCTTGAGCGATTTTCCTACCTTGTGTCTGAGATAGATATCGTCTTTGAATTGCGGAACTGTCTCGTTTGGTTGGCGTATGAAAAGTTAGGGGTGCCACGACGCAGCACACGACTTGTCTGAGCCCTCTCAACGAGATGATGTAACCATGCGCATTCCAGCTTTCCACGCATATCATATGAATCGTAGTATACTCCTTTCCCCCATTCCCGGACTGGCTCAGATCATCCTCTGGCACTGATGTCATCTCTATATCGCTGAGAGGGTGCAGACAAGCAGCGCGAATCTTCGCTGAAAGCCCCTTACCCCTGCTACCATTATAACCTTGCTTTGGTACTTTCCAGTCTTCACTTCCAAAAAACGCACCTCGTGGGACAAGCTGACGCGCTTGCGCGTCAGCCAAAGCGCGCCCGCCAAATCGACCATGTCCCATGCGGCGGAAAAAGCCAAAACCTGCGCTGTCGTCAACGGGCTAACAAATGCGCAAAGGCTTTTCTGACATCCCTATGTATATTGAAGAATTCGTATCTTGGATCTAACAAACCTAGAAACTCGAAAAAATTTGACAGGGATTAACGAAATCTGGAAAGCGCTTAGCGTTAGCGAATAATCCGAGACCGTTGGAGTGCGCTTTTGATAACGCACAAAAAACTCGCGATGCAGTTTCAGGATGTATTAAAGACGAGAGAAATGGTTATGTGCCCTTTGTAGATGGGCCATGCAAATGCGAATGTGCGAACTGACCGCACTTGAGGCATGCGTTGAATCGCATTTGAAAGCAGTGGTCGCGATCAAATTTTTCAAAGAATTCTGCTCGTGAGTGAGGTAGCAGGGCTTCCCAATTAGAGTAGGTCGCGGCACTGCCGCGACAGGAAAGTGCGCTACAAGGGCACTTCACCGCTGCGACCGCTGCCATTCTTAGCATTCGCAGCATACATTGGGCCTGTGACCTCCAGTACAACGTGCTTTTGCATGTTTTTTCTCCTTGCAGCACTGTGTCGTACCACGGTCAACACGACCCTCAATTTCAGCGTTTTCTTTTATTCCTTATGCTATTCAGTCCTCTTTGCACCTCTCATTTCATTTTCGACCGAAATAACAATCAATAAGACCGCAACATGGGCCTTTAACTCAGAACTTGATGAAAAGGTTGTCCGGGAAGTTGGAGAGCGGGTAAAAGAGGGGAGATTTCGCGCGCTCATTGGTTCGAGACGCGCAAGGCTGACATTATATCAAAATTTCGATTGCTCTTTGGGAAGCATGAGTTACAGTCGATATCCGAAAGTTGGGGTGGGTGTGTCACCGGAAGTGACGTGCACTTGATAGAAGTTGCGTGGATAAGCTGTTGCCAGCATGCTTTGCTGATATCCAGCGATGTATGTTGGAAGCAGCTTATCCACATAGCTTCTATCAAGTGCACGTCACTTCCGGTGACACGCCTACCCCAACTCTCGATATCGAGTATAGATAGCGGAGGCAAATTATTCAATCATAAAATCGTACCCATAACCGCAGTAGTCGCAGCATGACACCATGTCTTGGTCCGAAATGAGCACCTAGAATTTTTTCAATGAATTCGTAACGAAATTTCAACATAGTGATAAACATGTACCTGGCTCGCTCCTTTGCTAGTAATACACAATCTATCTGACATCGCAGATGCCGACGACACTGCCCAGCAGGAACCTGAGGGATTGAGACATCGGCTTGATTTCGTCCGGTTCTGCTTACCTATCTGGACCACTTAAGAGTTACTTACCGCAGTTGGCTTGGTCCCGTGATGTGAAAAAGTGTCGAGCAGTTGGACCACTGAACACGAGCGTCGAAGCTGAAAGCACAGGGTGTTCAGAGTTGTTGTGAGCTACGAAGAAGACTTCTTTGCTCTTTGCATTTCGCCCTTTGCATTTCGATCGTCCGGAGATCGAGCCCCTCAACAGCTCGCTGTATGCCTAACGGAAGTGAATTTGCCTTAGAAACAGTCAGGGAAGCTGCCGGTTCTCTATCTCTGGGTGACTTCCGGGACAGGACAAACTCCAAAAGATTTATTTATCCATTTGTTATAGCTCATTGTGGACGCATGTACCCTGCCGTGATGACGAAGTTATACGACGAAGCCATAAAAACTACTTCGCAAAAGAAAACATCATTCTGGAAGTGCAATATTAAACCAATTGTGGAAACAATTTGAAAATGTAAATAAGACAACTATCTTCGAGGCAATCAATCGTGATCCACTCAGATTCCAAGAAGCCTCTGCATACGGATCTACTACGGAACATCCCGCGAGACAAGCGCAGCACATCTCATCAAAAATGTTTGTTCAACAAACTTAGCACTCTGACAGCGAAAAGATTTAGCTCTGACCTGTGTTCTTCTACAGGAGACCTTATTTTGATTGTGCTCCCTCTTGCCCTCGATTTTACCAGCGTGAAAAAAGTGAGCTACAACCTTCCTTGTCAAATTTTAAAAGCTATAACGAAATCGGTCACTTTCTTGTATGTCAAAGAGACGGAGCATAACGTCGACGCCTTTCGCCCCCACTACGAACAGACCCACAGCTCGGCGTGGAACGGAGAGCAAGCCTGAGAGTGAAGAGTGAAAGTAAAAAAGTATTCATAGAATACGGTACTTGGCACATGGTAAAGTTGCTGGGGAGGTCTGCAGTGTGAGCAAGAACGAGAGCTGAAGATAATACCCCACCCTGGGAAACGCCACATAGGGACGAGAGCTTGCTTCCCTCACTTGATATGTGCGACCGCAAAAAAATGATTTGTTCCAGCGAACCAAGGGAGGTTGAATTCCGAGCGAGTTCAGCTTTTGAACTAACTTTTGGTGTGATACCATATCAAAGACCATAGCAGGGCCGAAATACACTGATGTACCAAACTTAAAGGCAGAATTCACGATGAAAAGTTAGCTCATTGGAAATAAGGGTAGAGGTGGTCAGTGGAGCAGGGATGAAGAAGAAACCATTTGAAACGGCCCGAAACCCGAGAAATGGGACCCCTTCCTTGCCCGTTGATTTGCGCATTGATGCGACTCTCATCGCTGTGCCCTCTTCAACACTACGCTCTCTGCTATCTAATCACTCGCCACGTATAGACCTGCGGCGAGTGATTAGATAGTCGGTGGGCGTACCCCGCCAACCGCGCCAAGAGTGAGCCATGCTAGATCGCCGAGGTCAAATCTTTCGCTGCCAATTGCGCGTCGGTCAGCACCCTCAGGAGGTCCGCCTGTCTCCCAACTATGCAATTTCCCCTTCTTTGACCTTCGTTCTTATCGTGAATTCCTCCTTCAAGAACGAGGTGGATTAAATAGCATAACTTATTAACAACTTGATTGGGTGAAAATGTGGGAGCGTGATTCCAAAGGTATTCCTGTCATGAAACAGACCAGGCCTCGTATATTGTGTAGCCCGCTTTGATCTAGAGTCAAATGGGCCTAACCACGTAGTACGAGAGGTTGATGGAACAGGAAAAGTTAGTGTATTGATCAGCAAGAAGTTAGCTTAGAATGTAATGGTGGTACATGTCTCAGCGACAACTTTAGGGTCACTCCATGCGAGGAGGAGTCACTGGAAGAACGAAGGTGTGTTACGAGTGCAGCTCGGAAATTTGATTTCACTCTCAGCATCGCTTTAAGTGTATGGGCAGCGATGGGTACCAAAGCACTGCTGTCCGAGGAAGAGGAATCAGCTGATCAAATCAATCGCCTTAGCAGGTGATCGCCATGTCTTGCAACAGGCAAATATATAAGTACGTCAGTCGCAGGTTGCAATTGCAAAAATATTTATCGGAATCGTGATTCTCGTAATCCTAGCCCGAACAGTGGCACACTGACCGGTCTCTCTGTCAGACTAACAGTGCCTGGTGTTCCGTTGAAATCCGCACAGTGCTAAGAACACCTGCGGTGCCGAGACACTGCGAATGAACCAAAATTAGGAAGATCAAGTGCTCTTCTTAGTCGTTACGTCGTCTGGCACAGTCTGCCACGCTAAGAAGACGAGCCCCTCAATTTTAATCACTATATTGATTTCTTTTGTTTTTTTTTTCTCGCTATGGGCCCACTTTGGATTATGGCACCACTAACGAATTGGAGGTGCCCTTGAATCCTGTAAACCTTTTTTATTGCCACTTTTGTTATTTGTAGCTTAT